TTCTATGACACTTGCAATGAAAATGTAATCTGTTCGATGATATGGCCCATGTTCTATGGAATATCCACCACAAAGAGATGTACTTGTTTACACACCTTGGAGTGGTTTGGTATTTTTCTTTGCAAGCTTATCCAATCTGTTTGTGCGTTTGTGTGCTGACACCTCGGATCGGAAGGGTTCCAATTTCAACTTTTGAACGCAAATTTTATGAACAATAAAACATTAGTATATTTTTAATAATTGTATTAAGATTACAATAAACTTTAACAGCTGTCCTTATTCATTTATCCTTTAACAGCTGTGCTTCTTTCTTTCCCAATATATAATGATAGTGTTTATCAATAATATTACATCCTTGGGAAAGAGTAAAAAAAAAAAAACAAAACTTTTGACTCATGGGAGTAATAAAAAGGTTATGGTGGCATTTTTATAGAAGTATACTTATTAAAATTATACAGTTCTGATGGTAATAATAATAATATTTGTTATAAAGTAAATTTAATGGAAGAAACTTAACATATAACTAGTTTTATATTTTAATTATATTTATAATTTATTAAAAATTACCTATGTAATGTTCGGACTATATTTAAATTTACTGAAATATTGGGTTTCTAAACACAGTAAAAATTAAAATTAAATTAATTGTCTTTTCCGATCAATAACCCGCCTGACTTACATTACATCACCAGTCTCGGGCGTGTCTCAGGCCATGACCGTTGCTCGGTCCATGGGCCCATGACCACTCCAAGTTTCAGTTTCCAATCCGAGTTAAATAATTGCAACTCGGATCCAACTTTCGATTCAACTCGCTGGATTTTTTTCATAATTTTAAACAGTATATTTAAGTGTTTATTTTAAAAAAATTAATACGTATGATATTTAAAACGTGAAGATATTTAATAATAAAATTAAAATTAAATTCTATTACATTTAAAATAGTAAATTTTTTTTATAATCTTAATTATAAAATAAGATTATTAAACAATTAAAATTTTATATAATAATAATTATTATACAATTTAAATTGTATGATAATTTACTATTATTATTAATTGAAAATTTATCTAATGATATAAAGTACATATTAATAGATAATAAATATATTTTTTATAATTAATTTTTATTTTAATAATATTATCATATAAATAATTTTAATTAATTAAATTTAAATCAATTTTTATTATTTTTATAAACATTAATTATATAATAATATATTTATTACAATTCCTTTATAAAAGTCCTACTATTAATTAGAGTATACTATTTTTGACGCCAAGTGGGCATGCGTTGTCCGTCGCTCTGTCTCTCTAGTCCCGCTAATTCAGTTTCCACAGGTTCAAACTGGCATCAAATCCCAAATTTGAAATATTTTATCCTTAAAAAAAAACCAAAACCACCAAAAGACAACGACACCCCCATACTGTGCTCCGAGACAACTCGCCCGCTTTTCACTTTCTTTTTATCCTTTTCTTTCCATTACCATTAACTGCTTTCGATTCTTTTTCTTCATCCGGTGAATGTCGCCGGACGACGGTTTCCGGTGACGCTGTTTGCTTCAACAGATCAAAGCACTCAGAATTCGAGTAAGATTCTTCTCTTTCTCTCTTGTTTTTTCCATTCTGCCTTTTTCTCGTCTTTTTCTGAGTTCCACTTTTACCTCTGTAAATGTCTGCTTCGCTTAGATCGAGTTAAGCGTTTCGGATTATAGCTGAAACAGCCTGCATTTCGAGTTGGATCCAAATATGATTTTCTTCTTCAGTGTATTGTTGGTGCCTTTGTCATTCACGGTGTTAGTGAGGATGTAATTTTACTTTTGAAGTTTTGGTTGCATTTTTGTCTGTTTGGTAGCTGAGAAAGTGAGGGAATGGGAATGAAATTTGTCCTAAGAGTGAAAGAGACAGCTTAACCTACACATGTGGTTACAGTGTCAGTGGGTGGAAAATGGAAATTATGGAGATTAAAGTCAAACTCCTTTTTGTTTCTTTTTTTTAAAAAAATTTTATTTTAACCATGTATTGTCGGTCGCCAACCTCTTATTACATCGTAAGGAAAACCAAACTAAAAGAAACTTGAATGTCATGCTTTTAAGTTGGTATTGTGATTGAAGAAACAGAAAGTTGAGCTTATTCTCTTTGCAAGGCTGGAATTTTTATCATGAACAAGAATTTTTATATAAGCTTTGATCTTCCTATTGATTTTTTGTAGATTGTTACCGGGAGAACGTTATATTGAAGAAATATTCACTTCAATTGGTTGGTAATCACTGTGATGCGGTTGAACAAGCTTTTGTTTTTTGTTCCGTAGGACTGGTGCCTTAACCCAAAATGGAGGGCCATCTAGTGCAGTCAGGCAAAGAGGTGCAGGAAAAACCCCCAGGTGTAGAGAAAGGGGCCACTGGAAATCCTTCAGAAAGTGTAAGGAAGGTTACAAAGTCTGCGAAACCTGGTGTGGCAGCAGTATCAAAGGTCTTGGCAACGACTAATTCTAGAAAGACTGATACCAAAAGTGGCTCTGAATTAAATTCAGGTAATGCAAAATCAACTGGGTCTGTGAGAACTTCAAATTCAGTTCCAGTGATAAGACGAAAGAGCACAGGTGGATTGCCCGAGAAGTCATCAGTCTCTACTACAAGACAGCAAAATAGTACTAGTACAGTTGCAGGAAAGAAAGCTACTAAACCTTTGGCTGTGGAACCAGTTAGGCGGTCTCTACCAGAGCTTAGAAGAAGTTCCCTGCCTTCTGTTGCTACAAAACCACCATCTCATTCTAGCCTTTCAGGGATCAGGAAGTCGGTTCCAGCTTCACCTAGTCAAAGTTTGAGCACATCAACTGCTTCTGACTCAAGTGTATTGAAGACCGTTAAGAAATCAACGATAAAGCCGATATTATCACCATCTCCATCTTTGAAAAAGGTTGCTTCCTCAGCAGACAGCAGTGGCAGTAGTGCAAGTAGAAAGACAGCTTCAAAGATTTCATCACCATCTGTTCGATCACCTACTGTATCCAGTGGTTTAAGAGCTGGGTCTTTATCATCTTCTTCTGATAGGAGTTCTAATTTATCTGGGCGTAGGAGATCAGCAGCTCCAGAAAGTCGAGATTCACGATTCGTTGTTCTCCCACAGGTGGAGATCAAAGCTGGTGATGATGTGGTAAGAAACATATTATCAGATCTTTTTCTAAGGTGCATTATGATAAACAATAACTGACCCTTCTGACAAACTATTTTTCATTGTATGAAAATAACTCATGTGGTTCTTGAAATTATAGAACTATCTTGTCTGCTTCCTAGGGATTGATCTTAAAGCTGTCATAAAGATGATGATAATGCATAACCCATCATTTATGTCCTATATTTCAGTGCTGTGGGTTTCTGTAGCAAGCATGTGTAAATGCACAGCCTCGTGCATTGGAAGTATGATTTACTTTGAGCATAGTTAGAAGCATTCTAGTTAATGGGCTAGTTCACACGTTTGACTAGGCATCAATCTTGTTACATTTCATCTAACTTCTAGTTCTCTAGTTCAGTTAATTGCCATATTGATATATTAATGATATCAAATGCCTTGCCTTAATCTGTTATAGCAAAGGACTCTGGATGGGATGATTGTGATCAATGAATGTAAATGCAGAGATGATCACAATCTTGTGCATGCATTTTTGAAATTGTTGTTATCTGGCCCATTGCTGTTCTCATTGTTGGTTGTGTCCTGACTTTGTTAATCTTGATTTCTAATGTTATGGTTTTGCTATAAATCCTCATCTAATTGCATATTTCTCCAGGCTAAGCTTCTATTTTTTATTTCTGTGTCTTCTCATTGCATCAGAGGTTAGATCTTAGGGGTCACAAGGTTCGCAGCCTCAATGCTAGCGGGTTGAACTTATCACCAAATCTGGAGGTAAACTTATCTTGCATTAGATACAATAATATTTCCCTATATTACTTAGTTGAAAACTTGGTTATTAGTGTAAGTTTTCTTTGTGGCTAAGTATTTTATTCTTTCTTTCCTCTCTCTCTTTTAAGTATTTGGCACAAGAATATTACATGCATGGATTCCATGTTGGAGTTTCTGTTTAGCAATTCCTAACTTTTGACAACTTGGTTTATTTTTTCTGCAGCATACTACCCTGTTTGTTCACCAATAAGATTAAAAAGAGAGCTGTTTCGAAGTATTTTAGCATGTCAATTATGGTTCCATAGTTTAAATTCCCCTGTTCCTTTCCTAATATTCATGGATAAAAACTAGCATGTCTAGTGCATGTTTCTATGCACAGAGACATGTAAACATTGCTGCTTTTTTTTGTTTTTTTTTCTGTGGCCCACAACATGCACGTATTGGTTGATGTATTAAGTTTGTGCTATTCTGATTTTGGTTCTACCATAAGATAAATGAAGCAGACAATTTTAATCCACTTTGGCTTTTTCTTTGGCAGTTTGTTTATCTCAGAGACAATCTCTTGTCAACATTGGAAGGAGTTGAGATCTTGACTCGAGTGAAGGTAGTTCATGAATGTGCATTTTTGTTATTCATTATCCTTGTTGACATTCTTTTTCTACAAATAAGCAGTTTTTATTTTGAAAAGCTGCAAGTTTCTAAAGTTACAGGATCGGCTTATTTCTTAGGGTCCTATGGTTTCTATATGTACTTTCACTTCACAATTGACTTTCCTGTCAAATTTCTTGCCAGGTTCTTGATTTGAGCTTTAACGAATTTAAAGGGCCTGAATTTGAACCTCTTGAGAATT